TACTTGAATAACATCTTCAAACCCTAATTTTTCTGATTACAGCTTATAATTTTACTACATCTAGCACTACGGGTTTTGAATGGCCCATTGCATCTCTGTGCTAATGTGGCATGGCAACTTGAACTGATGTACGTACGTACTAAGTTCCACGTTGCTACTGACTGACTGACTTGGGATTAAAGTGATTAACTTTCATCTTCAGCCGAGGTGGTTTGAATATGTTTTCGGTATATCCAACCACTACGTACCTCGTCATACAATGTTTAGTGGGATAGGAGCAGGATGTAAGAGATTAAGAACGAGAAAACAAAGACGTATCATTAGTCCATGAAGTCATTGACTGTTTGACTGTCCCGTGTGTGTAGGTACAAAGTACCTGGTTTAAGATTACGACATCATTGTAACGATTAGTTGGAGATATTGGGTGTCATGACTTGAAGTCAGTCGCAAAGGCGAAGATACTGTCATCTTAACATTTTAGTTGATAGAATGAACTGATCAATGCTAGGCTACCACTGGGTAGTGGTTTCGTCCTGGTACGGGACTGCCCAGCAATGAGCATCCACGATCTCGCACGCGGGACTTGATTCCAGGAGCTTTTGTCTTGCGCGAACACACTTGGGATCCAGCGGTGTCAACATCTAACTTCAACTAATCCACAATATTGTTCGACTAACTTCCATTGTCTTCAGTGGGTAACTGCCCCCAAATGCCCTGGTACGGCCGAGAGTGAGGAAAATCAACTCTCCCTCTCGAAATGCCCTCACATGACCACGTGCATACAACAACTGCCACGAGTGTCCTACTCACTATCTTCTCAAGGCGGGAGTATTGTTTACGAAATTGAGACGACGAAAAAGGAGTGTCTAGCGCTTTAACCGGGTTGATCGATATGAAGAATCCACCTAAGATAGTTGGAAAATTCAGATTCCAAACCAATGGTACACATTAGCTGCAGAATACTGAGGAAACAAATGGTGTATGAACCTATTGTTAGTCACTGGCTACCATGGGACTGCATCTCCTGACGTTGCTTCACTGTCTTGTGGACTAGACCTGTGGGTGAATGGTTTGAGGTGTGGCTCCCTAAGAAACCTATCTGGTTTTGTTTTGGTGCCCGGTCAGTATTCTAGCCCTCACACAATCAGATGATTTATGTGGCGCATATCTATTTGGTGCCTCCTTGTACCAATGTTTATATGTTTGAATAAATGAACTTCAGTTGTCATTGATTCTCACTAGAACTCCAAAAGTTACCTCTCGAATCTATTCATTAGTACTAGGATTAATCTGCCGTACCGTGCTTCCAGGTTTTCAGTAGTGGTCTAACATTGATTGGTTCGTGATCTCAATTCATATTCAACAGTGTTCACGACCCTATACTGATAAATTTAACATTTATCTGGAAATTTTCATGTTATCGTGTTAGTTTTATATGACAAATTGAATCGACGCTCATATATTTCAGGTTCTATGTTACTTATGACAGACTGAATGACCTTGTATATTGAGTGACTATATGTCAAATACACTTATTTAGTACTATTAAAGCTGTTAGCCTATGAAACGTGTTACATATTTTAACGTGACGATATAAAACTCCTCAAATTATTACATTATTGTTAAATCCTCTGTATTCGTTTTATATGTCTTTACATTAATGCAAGATATATTGATTATTTCTTTTGGCTAACCTGTATCGTGTGAACGAAATTTCATTATATATATGTATGTATATATATTATATATATGTATGTATATATATTGTTCATATGTGTTTCATGTACAATAAAAGTAGTCTTTCATTTACTTTAACTCAGACCTAGAGAGACATAAATTGAACTTATGTAAATTATCGTTTACGACTGAAGTAGAGTGTGCTGAACATTTCTGTTTTATTTTCATTTTTGGTTGTGAAAATTAAAACAATCATTTGTAAGATGAATAAATTGTTTGGTAGTTACAAATTTTTGTTTATATGCCACAATTGAGGTTACCACTTTCAATTATTGCGTGATAATAAGAGATGTAAATTATGGTTGATAATCAAAGCAAACTTTACGAAATTTTTATCAGTCCGATAAAAATGAAGCACAATCGTTTAATGGTTAAAACAATTGATTTATAACCAAATAATTCGTAAGTTATCTCAATGTGACTTATAGCTGCGTACTGAAACTTGTAATTGGTGAATTACATTCGCTTGATAAAAGAGAAGTATTTCATCTAGATTCTGTATCCAAAAAGAAACGGATAATAATGATAATAATAATAATAATAATAATAATAATAATAATAATAATAATAATAATAAACAAAAAATAATGTTAGCATTATTGAATTTATACAATAACATGATCATCTGATCTTTAATAAGAAAAATAAAATTTAGTTTATTTTAAAAAAGATCATCATAATTATTGGATTGTTTAACTCTTTTCTTTTTGACCAATTCTTATTTACTGGTCACGTTTGAATCAATTCCAACTATTGCTCTTGCTCAAATGTGGATCATATGAAAATGAAACTTATTATGACGTAATGTATATTCAAATTTATACCAATAACTTTCTCATGATCAAATTGTTTAAAGTTATTTAAGAGTAGTTTCAATGGGTATTTAACTATTTTTTTCTCAATAATTGTGTATAAGAAGAATATCAACTATTTCTTATATTTTTTATTATTATCTGAACACACAAATACTGGTACAAGGGGGCACCAGATACATATGCGCCACACAAATCTCATTTGATTTGTGTGAGGGCTGTGATACTGCCTGGGTGCCCAAATCGAAGCAGGTGGTTTTCTTAGGAGGCCACACCCGGAGCCTTCGATCTAAAGGTCTGATCCACAAGGCAGTGGAGCATCGTAAGGAGGTTCAGTCCCATTGTAGCCGGTGAACAACGATTGGTTCATACGTCATTTGTTATTTAAGGGTACTGGAGCCCATGTGCACCATCGGTTTGGAATCAGGGTTTTCCGACTCCCCTAGGTGGACTCTCCGTGTCCACCAACCCGATTAAAGCGCCGGACGTTCGCTTTTCATCCTCTCAATTCCGTAAACAACACCCCCGCCACGAGAAGGCAGGGAGTAGGACTTCCCTGGCAGAGGCTATATACGCGTGGCCATGTGAGAGCATTTGAGAGGGAGAGCGGACTCTTCAATTTCTACCGTACTATGGCATTTGAATCAAATATCCAGTATACTAATTTATATATCAATTCTGAGTTGGGTTATTCGAAATCTGTTAAGGTTTTGTAAATTTTTTTAACGTTAACAACATGTTTTGGGATATTTGCATTATTTTATTTTGAATATATTATGTAACAACCTTGAAATTGCAAATTTCCTGACGACCCTCTGTTATTGTTTAGATGTTTTTAATAACATTTTTGGATTTGTTAAAAAAGACATATAGAATCTCTTTGGATTGTATGTTTATTAAAAGAACAAGTTAGATGGAGATCTATTTTTTAGAGTTGAGGGAAATAAGAGAAGATCCAATATTTCTCTGTATAACATAAATTTTAGCTCAGGTTTTCGCTAATTTAAACTACCATCTGAACTATGTAATCTTGATACAACTTTCATTGCTATCTACTAATCTTAGCAAGAATTAGGAATTTACTTTTGCGTATAAAATAAGCTTAATGTGCAAAATTCCAGATTCTGATTAAAATCGACGAATAACCTGAGTTGAAACCGAATTTAAAATCAATGAACCTTTGAATTACTAAATCAGTTGACTTCACAGAATTTCAGTATTGGATAGGTTTTCGTTCTATATTCTATTTTTTAATATTGTGTCAGTTTGAAATGTTCCTTTGTTAATATTTCATTAGATACACTCATTCATTTAATTCTTCATATCCTGATTCTAGTCGACCAGCTTTGCTCTCTCTCTCCATCATACACGTACCTTCTTTGTATAATTATTATGGGTTACTTTGAACCAAGAAAACCAATCCTAACTAAAATAGCTAATGTAATTAATATATAAACTTTTGCTTTCATTAATTAGTGATGTTGTCTTCTACATAATGTAAATCAACTATTGTTGGTTAACAACTTTACAATCAAATTCCTAAGCTAAACAAATCAATATTGCAGTGTCTGACTCAAGATTTTATTGAGTTCATTATCAACAATAGTGAAAACATGTTTCAAAAATAGTCATTTGAAATTAATCAACTTTCCACATTAAAGGATCTTTCATATTTTCTGAGCTTTTGTTAGATAAACCAATGAATATGAGATATTTTGTTCATAGCTGAATATTAACCTCTATAGTTTTCAAAAATTAAATGTATACCTTTTAATCTATCCGATTAAATCAGTTAGACAAATTAAACGTATTCACTGTCATGTCTTATTTTCATTGATCTCATCCTCATGACCTGTTGTAGAGCATGGATTTCCCTGTTGGTTTCTGCTGCTAATCATCATGAGTCTTCAGTTCAAGGATATCCATTAATTATATTTAGCCAAATAAATAACCTGCTAGTGCTTCTTGGCATAAGAAAATTCTTGTAAACTAGCTAGTTGGTTAAACACAATTGATATGTGACTGGTAGTAAAGTTCAGAACGCGTGTTTCGTCTTATTCGTGACTCCTCACCAGGATGTACCTAGGTCTCAGTTTTGGCATTCTCATTGACATTTGAACCCAGTACCGTTGGCTCCAAATGCCCAAAACATTATCCACTAAGCTGATAAGTCCAAATAGCTACTAATTTATTTATAGAAATATGTTTATACAGGTATATTTTGAGGGAACCGATTAAAATGCACATATAGCAGTCTTGATTATAACCAACTAGATATCACGAAACCTTACTAATAGTTGATTGATTGATAGTTTATCTCACCGTGTCTAGGTAGTATTTGTGAAACTTGGTCGATTTACTTAGTTCTAGCTGTGATCCTCCTGTATGTTACTTTATCTAATTATTACCCACCTCTAACTTTATGTATGATTTTTCTTGTTCTCATTGTAGCTGGAATTGTTGTGTTTACTCCATCTTATGAATATCAGTCAATTTTACATAATCATTGGGAGGCGACAGGTTTACTGAATAAAATAGCAAAGTATAAAAGTTTCTTTCACGAACCAAAATCAACAACACAATTAGATCAAGTGAATAGTTTTTATTGATTTATATCATAATTTGGTAATTAATATTTCACTCGTTTGTTCAACTTTTCTTCGTTAATTAACTAATAGAGTAAAAATGATAGAGAGGTTAGGAGCTTTAACCAATTTTTTTTCAACTAAAACCCGATATATTGATGCTTCGAAAAATACACTCATACCTTAAAATATCAACGAATTAGTGGTTCATAATATTTTCTGTTTCTTTAGGTTTCAAAAACAATATTCTTGTTTCGCTGTGTATTTGTACAAAAAGAGATAAATCAGTAAGATTATCATTGTAAACAGAATACTGTTTTTCTCGACTTAACTAGTAATCCGCTATTTGCAAACCATATTTTCTTATGAGGTGACATCAATTGAAAAATTGATCTGAAGTTATCTAAAATATTCTAAATCTTTAATGATTGCAGCATACCCAGAATCATATAGAGTAAGTGATGTAGATCAGTGTGTAGTTTTCATTTCAATAGACGAGTTATCCACGACTGTCTACTATGAATAATATTCAGTATATCGAATACCGATATACCTCACATAAAAAGCACAAGTATAGTAAAATATGGGACCTGATGTGAAATCACTAATGAAAATTACACTCCAGTATCCAGTAATTATTTGATATATGAACGGAAAAGTCACTAAAAATTTTCATTACGATACGCATAATAAATATTTAAAACATTTCCGATAATGTCAGATGAAAGGAATTTATTTAAAATAATGCAAACTGGATAGTTGTTTCAAATTATTTCGAAACTCTCAGAAGAATATGTTCTCATGATCACATCAAGTTACAAACGTGGAATTTATCATGAGTACATTTTTAGCTTGATCATTGAAACTAACTTTGAAATTTCACCACACTGTTTCGTCCTAGTATGGGACTCCTGAGTAGTGCGCATCCACGTTTTTCAAGGTGGTTTAGCTTTAATCGACTCATGAATTTAACTAATATCCACAAAACCCTTTTCAGATACAAATTTATTTTATATATTAGTACATTTTCACTACGAATATTAAGTCGTCATTAAGTCTGTGATCTTTACATTTTCAGTCATCTGAAATTGTCTAACACACTCTGTATCTGTAAGGAATCTGACACTAACAAACATCACTTTAATAGAACATCACCTAGCTGTTTGAAATGAATGTACGTGATAACATGATTAAGATTATAATAATAATAGTTTGTTGAGATTTAGATGGTGGTTGGAGGTAGTCAACAGGAAACCCGGGTTCAGGGTTTTCTGTTGACTACCTCCAACCACCATCTAAATCTCAATACATAGTGCCCGCAGTGTCGAGTCACCTAGACTGGTGGCCACATTGCAACATGATCGATAGCATTCGATCTGCACTAATAAGGACTAGACAAGCATGACATTGATCACCACCCAGTGATCAATCACTTGTAAATAATAGTTTGTTTTTACCAAATTTGAAAAATTACAATGTTTGTTGAAAGTAAATTCTTCATCACGTTCATTAAAATTTTTTTACAATGATAAACACTAAAATATTGAAAAAAAACGTTTTGCGATGACTAACATCTAATATGCTAAATATATATTCACTTCTTTTGATTATTTGAAAATTGATAATGAAATATTTAACAGAATTGAAGTAGTAGTAAAACAATTACACATTTAGGTATCATTACTAAGGTTTGGTTTGATACTATTTAAACATTGGATTAATTTTAATTTGGTTATCTATCCTCTGAAGAAGTGGCTTATACTAAGTCACGAAACGCCAGGAAACCTAATTTTTCTACTCATTGGGATATTACAAGTATATTATTTATTTAATTACACATTTAGTATAGCTTACCATACGAATGTAAAACGATATAGTCCAATTGAATGGATGTATTTATTTGGATAGATTTTCTGAAATAATAATAATTATTATATATATTCAGTTCCTAAATGAAATATATATCTCTGTACTACCTTACACTATGTTAAGTTTCTAAAGCGTCAATAAAATGCGTATTTATCATCAAGGTTTATCTGAAAATTTTCATAAATACCTTTTATTACCGTGTAATAAAGTCACAATTAATATACCACAATATTATTTAGGTTGTAATTTTCGTAATAACAATAATGAAAATTAAATACCCTGGTTTTTCGTTGACAATATCATCAATTATCTGATATTTCAAGTAATTGGTTTAGCGTATATTTCTGTATACAGTTTGGTTTTTGAATGATCAATCTCAGTTAAGCAATATATGCACAGAAAATGTGCCTTATACAACTTACCTAGACACCAAATGTGTATCAAATGATGACGATATATTTCATGAAGTCTTTCACACAAAGTAAAATCCTATTTCCTAAGAAATTCTCCAATTGTGTAATCTATGGTATGAAATATACTGTATGTATCATTATATTACTTGTCGTGCAAAAGTAGTATGGTTTTTCATAGACAGTTTTATAGATATTCATAACTTGTTACATTCTCAGTCTTGTGTTATGTTGATATGAATCAAATCATCTGATATAAATTTCTCGCGAAAATTTAAGCCATCTAGTTTATTTATCTATGCAGTTTCTTTTAGACTCATCAAACTGTATGATTAAAAACTTGAGATCATCTGGCAATGGTTTTATTCTAATTTTAGGATTCCTCAGAATTGTATACTTACATCTATGAACGGAACTAAATTAATAAATTTCACTTCTGATGGCGAAAATTGTCCCCTTTTTGTTTGTTCATGTTTACAACTCCAACCAATTTACATTATAGCTTCGCCATCACTAATCCCCACATGATCACTGACACCTTAAGTCTTACTAGAATTCACTAGTGAATATATCGCAATAAATCTCCCATAAGTGTTTATAAAAGACTATTCATTGAGATATTCTGATAACTCAAACACTATTACCCAGAGACACTTCAAACGTGTTTAAAATCTACCCTGTAGATTAATTAAACCAGTAGTTTGTCTAAATTATGTGAAATTTACTTGATTCTAAGATGGTTAATTGATGTTTTGATTTTCAAACCTCTGTTTTGAGATTTTAGATAATGCAAGCTTATGGAGTAGCAGCTACTCAAAAATTGCAACATAAACATGGAGCCCTTTTGCTATGTGTGATTGGTGGAAAACTCAGTGAAGGAATAAATTTCACAGATGATTTAGCTCGAGTTGTGATCATTATCGGCATGCCATATGCAAATCCACAGTCCCCAATTGTAAGTATGTAGCTCCGATTCAATTACGTATATATATATATATATATATATATATATATATATATATAAGTAGACGACGGTATATCACACTTACTTTCTTAGTCCTTTAATTTTCTGAAATTCGGACTCGAGTATGTGTTAAGTTGCTCGATACAAAAGTCCATGAGGTCCAAAAACTTGTTACTATCCTTATTTTATGTGATCTTTCATGAAAACTCTGTTAGATAGTAGTGGCTTTCAACATTTACCAGTCCCTGCTTATTTTGGTTCTTACAGACAAAAATCCTGATATAAGGTATAGTTTGTAGAGTATATTATTTGTGAAAACTAAATCTGTCAATTTCACTTCTTCTTTAAAAACCGCATTTCTTCTTTAATATTATGTAGAGTGATAATATTGTTTAGAACATAGAGTATAATCATGAGGCCACAACATTTTTACTAACTTTGCCTCACCCGCATTGTTTGCAATTAATGTTAGCACTGTAGGTTTAATGCTACCTCATTGAAGTGTATACATTATTTGCATTGCTGAATTGTTAAATGGAATCATAAAAGTAATTTGATTGATGCATTTGACTTTAACCATTCAGTCTAGATAACATAACACCATGCGAAGCGTCCATTTCAGCCACAAATCTTCTCCATTGTTTTACAAGTAATTATTATAAAGTTTTAAAACGTTTCTGATACACTGTCTAAGAACAACTCATAATTTCCCTTTTCTACTCAAACCAGGATGAAACGGCCATACAGTGTTGTCTGGCTTAGAATAGTGTTCCCCAGTTGGTACCTATGCGTTATGAATATTACTTACGTATTTGATTGATAACTGACCTAAATTCTAAAGACAATACAGAAACGCTGGACTGATGTCATGTGGTACCGAACTGCTTATGTACACTTGTAGGGCCACGTGATAAGTAAAAGTTGAGGCGGCCTGATGTGAGTTGTTCGTTTGACCAAGGTTATCGCATATATATCCTTGTCTAGATCAGACAAGACGCATAAGTACTAAATATTTTTTATGGTACATTAATATCAAATTTCCATAGTTTTGGTTTACTCTCTCCACATATTCGATTTGTCACTGATTTGAGAAGTGCGTATTAGTAACCGGATCGAATTTTATAACACAATAATGGTTGGGCGATTGGGTTAATTCATATAACAATCCCTCTAAAAATATTTAACCATTGATTTATGTTTTATTCATTGTCTTATGACATTCACTGATGAACTTCCTTTCCATTTTTCTAGTTAAGAGAAAAAATGAATTATTTGGATAAGCATTTCATTCGTGAATCCCAATCTACACAAAATCCAGGTAGGCAATATTATGAGACAATGTGTATGCGTTTAATAAATCAAGCTATTGGTCGATCTATACGACATGCAAAGGATTATGCTGTTGTCTTCTTATTGGATAATCGGTACTATCGTTCAACGATTCAGTCACAATTACCTAAATGGGTTCAACAAAGTATTATTCATCAACAATCAAATGATAAACAATCGATTTCACTGTCATCGTCAAATCATCACAGAGAATTCTTAAATTTATCAGAAGCTTTGGAGCATGCTAAGAGATTTTTCTTAAGTAACAAGGAGTGTTTAGAATAGAAGAAATGATTCCTTTTTGGAAAAAAACGAAGGAAATTGACTTGGTGTGTAATCTTTGTTTTTAGTCTTACATTTTTTCATTCTCACGATACTTTTTATGTATTCAGGTACTTTTTCTAAAAATTGCAATTCATAATGACAGTCCCAGTCCTTCCTGATATAGTCTCACTAACAACCGAAATTTCAATACCTGGTTTTTTGATAAGTGTGAATACTTTTTAACTGTTACTTATTGCCGGTGTCATTTTTTTTTGCGTTCGCTACCCACCACTTTTTACAATCATTTGGTAGGGTTTTCTTGCTCACTAACTCTAACCACCAAACATTCGAACAATAAATAATCAACAGTTGTAAATCTACTGACGGCTGGAAGTTAGGATCGGTCAATGTTGTAAAATGTTTAGTTATTCAAATGGAGTGATGATTAATGGATTATTTTTACACAGCTATGTGCACAACCTAAAGATAACAATAAACAAATAATGTTACAGAATATATACGAGTTATTATAAAAAAGAAATGAAGAAACAATACATGATTACAATTTCGGAGAAATTATAACATTTCTGTGTAACATAAAGATTTCCTATTTTCCGAAATCATTTTTTTCAAAAAAAGTTATTAAAATAATGAAAGCACCACAAACAACTATGCAGTATTTATTTCAGCTCAATTATAAGTCACTTTCTTGCTTTTGTACTACACTTTCACTGTATCAAGAATAAAAATAATCTCTTTGATTTGTATATCTTCTCTATACACAGTGTTGGAGATTTAGATTGGCTTATTATATATATATATATATATATATATATATATATATATATATATATATATATATATATATATATATATATATATATATATATATATATATCAAATCATGAATACAATGTGTAGTGGATTTTTTTCAAATCAACTTCCGACAGTAAATTATTTGGATTTCTTTCCCAGAAGTAAACGGATACAAACCAGGTAGAAAAAAATGTGCTGAGTAAAGAAGAGAAAAACAAACATACAAGTCACTATTAATTCGTGAGCGAAAGCAAGTTAGCCTAAATTGGCAAGGTTAATCAGTATGTATATATTCCATTGTAATCAACACGGGGTGGTCATGGTAGTGTTATTTATAGTAGTTTAGTCTTTCTAATATTTTTAAGCCTTTTTCTTCGTATTCAGCACGAGTTAACCATGTAGTACGTCGGTCATTTTTCATAATATTCGCCAACACTGATCCACCTATAAATACCATATGTTTCCTTTGAGGTGGGGCTTCAATGCACATCTTGAATTTCTGAGAGAAAAAAAAATGAATTAACAAAGTTGAACAAACTGAAAATAATTATCTTTAGCATGAAAACTCAATGATTTATTATTGAAATGAACTCCTAAATTAAATAAGGGCACCAAAAATGAATTATCTTTACTATGCAATATAGAGTCGAGATAAACATCAGGTATGAACGGCGCAAAATGTATTGTTTTATCCTATTATTAAAAAATAATAAAATTATTGTGCATTTGAAATCATCCTTACACTAAATGAATTTTGTAAGTTTTCTTCTGTGTGATTAAAGTTTGACTGGTCGCATCCATTATGGAGACAAGACCAAACAATTCGTTAATAAATCTAGTCAAGTCATTAGTAGAAAGAAATATCAATTTATTAGAATGGGTTTTGTGTAGATTTTTAAAAATTTCACTGGTTGAAATCATGAGTCATTTGAAGCTAGACCACCATGGAAAACCTGGAAGCACTGGACGGCCGTTTCGTTGGATGCCGGCTCAGTGGTCTAGTGGTTAAGTCCTCGCGCGCGAAACCAGTAGGTCCTGGGTTCGAGTCCCGCGGAGTGCGGGATCGTGGGTGCGCACTGCCGAGGAGTCCCATACCAGGACGAAGCAGCCGTCCAGTGCTTCCAGGTTTTCCATGGTGGTCTAGCTTCAATTGACTCATGATTTCAACCAGTGAAATATCAATTTATTTAAATGTAACTACAGAAATCAGTACTAAAGATTCTGTTGATAGGACAATGACTTAAAAATTAATTTCAATGATATACGTACATTTATTTCGAAATTCTTTTCTACTTAGTATCCAATTCATTTGGAGTAGAAATTCTTTTTAAACTAGTCAAATAGCATCAAAAATATTCTTTTTCTAAATAGATGATTGATCGGTTGATTTCCAGTCAGAAATTGATAAATTATTTAGAGAAACACTGAATACCAGGGACCAAAAAAAATTGATATTTTGTCCTACTATCTATCCGAGGTCATACAAACTCAAAAGCAGTGTTACGCATTGAAAAATAAACCAATAGATGAAGATCCACTGGTCTGAAGGTTAAGATTTAGCCACTAAATTTGAACGTCCTGAATTCGGTCCCCGGTGGGATCGTGATAGACGAGAACTGCCGAGGAGTTTTATACTGAGATGAAACAATTCTCCAGTACTCCGTGATTTTTTTGGGTTAATACGTGATGCAAACGAGAATAAATCCCTCTACAAAACCCTACAGTAAGTAATAACCTCAAACAGACAAGAAAATGCATTAAAAGATATTCGCGTGATAGTAGTGTAATGAGTGAGAACACAGGTGGGGACGACCAGTGTATTTAAATACAAAATTAAAAAATGTCTTGGTAAAATATGAGAACCGTACATTGAATACTTCATTTGCAAATTATCATTAACTGTTCCAAACTTTATTGTTCCTTCACTGCCATAACAATCACTCTTTGTTCCCGTTCTCTTCAATTCGATCATCCCAACCTTCTGTTGCCAGGTTTTCTACTTCCGATTGACGATACATACTACTTATATCGACAGACATAAGTAACATACATCACAGTAGTCGCTGCTGTTATTACTGAGTAAGTGAATTGACCAACCTTCAATTCAATGCCTACGTCTGCTTACATTGTTTTTAGAAATTAATGATTGTGTGACTTGACTTTGTATTTGGACTTCACTACAACTTCGACAAAGCTTCCTCTAGAGTAAATATATAATACTTCAAGTTGGTCAGTGATCATGTGCAATATGTGTTTTAAAGTATTTTATTCAATGGCGATTCATGACTAAAATTCAACTAACAAACTACATTGAAGACTAAGTTTGAATTTTAAACTTTTAACCATTGTCTCTATTTTACATAACTGCGATACTTAAAAGGTAGTATTCACAATTGAATGCATTTAGTCTTCTTGTCTTTGGTGCCTATACCTCAAAGATATACAAGCCACTGTGTATATTGATTTTTCTTGCTTGATGAGAACCTATTCACTTATCATAAATATTGTTAAATATGTGATGAATAAACATTATTAGCAGAACATAGACAAAAACATACGAAATTATAATATTTCATCCATAAACTACTTTAAAAAAATATGATCTTTAAAAATATTGAGAAAGTGACGAATCGATAACTATGATATAATAAGCACAGGATCAATGAACAACCAATCTCATATTGTATCCTTCTCATTACGCTCAAATAATCAGATGTTATCAGATAAAGCCGAATTCAGTTTACTGATTCTACTGAATTAAAATATTTGAGAGACTTGAGTTGAGGCAACCAAAAATAATAAGTGTATTGGAAATATATATTGGGAATAATAGACAAACTAAAGCGAATACAATAAAGTGGTATTCTTGGATATTCAATATTTCATTTTATGATTTTTTTAAATTTAATAGTTGAATTCATGAGTCAATTGAAGCTAGACCACTATGGAAAACCTGGAAGCACTGGACGACCGTTTCGTTCTAGTACGGGACTCCTCAGCAGTAGGCACCCACGATCCCGCTCGCGGGATTCGAACCCAGGACCTATCGGTCTCGCGCACGGACGCCTAACCTCTAGGCCACTGAGCCAGCATCCAACGGTGTTAGTGTCTAACTTGAACCAATCCACGAAAATTCACCACCGTCCACTGTTGTCTTCAGTGAATTACTATCTCACAACAGTCCCAGTTGAACTCCACTGGTCACGGCCCGTTTCGTCCTGTTTGGGACTCGTCATCTGGATGTACATGCATACCAGAGTTTAAATAACCAATACAAAAATGAATCAAAACTTCACCAAAATTGCACAGGCTAGTGGCTCTCTGAACTCAGCAGCTAAGTGGGTAACGCGATGGCATGTGAAGCGAACGGTACTGGATTCGAGTCTCGGAGTGAACATCAACTCTGAGACCAAGGTGTATCCGGTTAACGAATCCTAAATAGGACGAAATGTGATTCCTGGGTTCCACTGCTAGCCACCATCTATCTCTGCTCACTAATAATATTGTTACTAGTACTAATAATTACTAATAATAACTCTATCACTCTGGAATTCGCCCTAACAATTTCTCCTCACTCTACTAATAGAGGCGTGGCAACTTGAACAGATGTGAAAATGTGCCAGATTCTACTTTGCGTATAACTCACTAAATGACTTAATCAAAAAAAAAATTAGAATACTTACTGCAAATCTTTCTGTATCACCTTTCAGTACATTTTGTAAATATAACTGTTTAATTTCACGTTCAAGACGACTTGGCAAACCAGGATACATTGTACTCCCACCACTTAATACTATATGCTTGTAGAATGCTGGTCTTGTATCAATATCAGCAGCTTGGATTGTATTAAATAATAATTCTGATATACCGACACCTTCACGATCGATTAGATGAGGCTGAAAGAGAGCTTCTGGTGCACCGAATAGCTCACCACCTACTTTGATAACACGTCCATCAGGTAACTGTAGTTGTTCGCAATTAAGTTTGGAAAAAAAGTAAAAACAAATAATAGATTTATTAAGATATGCTCGGCTTCGAATCAGATATTCTCCATAAAATCAAGCTCATATGAACTATTGAGGTTGTGCCATCTGTGGCACATAGATCGAAGGTTAGCTATTTGATTCAGTTTAAATTCTGTAATATATGTAGAGAGACGAAAGAAGTAGAAGTGGAGTGTAAATATTAATCTCCTATATGCTTAAAAATTATATAATAACAACTGCTACTATTGATGTTTCAACCTAAAAAAGTGACGGGAATATATAGTGTAAGTTAACAAAGAAGAAATCATTTACACACATAGACATCGGTACACGGGGGCACTAAATATATATGCACCACACAATAAAAATGAGGTTGTGGAAAATGGAGGGTGGAAGAGCAACGATGAACAGAAATTAGCGTATGAGTGTCAAATAATAATAATAATAATAACCAGAGAAGCAGTTCAGTTAGAAAATATACAATCAGGGAGAATCCTTTCAGTTAAAGAAATTACGCTTACTTTTATAAAGTAAAAGTAAGTTACAGCACGATCGCCACTGAATTCTATTCTGAGCTATGTCTGATAACGTCTCTGGCTGTTGTGTTGCATCACCTCTAGAACCCCAACGAGGAAGTTGCGAAAGGCCAACGGAAGCCAGTCCTGTACAGCTATATTACATATCACGACACTGCGTCATACACTGATCACCTCTCCACCTTTTTTAACCGGTCCCATTTTCGGCATCCGTAGGACATGCCCAAACCACTGATAGTGACACCAATTGGATTAATGTCGCTGTGCCTGACCACACGTTGCCGAACCTTTGCATTACTAATATAGTGGTACCACCGGACGTCAACAATCCCTCGGAGACAACAATGAACAAGCATAGAGAGTCATCTACAATCCTCAACTCGGAAAGTTCAGGTTTCACAAGCATACAACGAAACCGCTCTCAGCGACGCGTCGTAGATCCAACCTCTTACAACCAGACTAACATCACAAAGGTGCCAAAAATGACCCAGAATGGCGTAAGTCGCTCTGGCTTTCAATATACGTGAATCGATCTCATCACTCACTCACACATCTACTCAGATACACGGACTTCTCTACTACTTCTGTCTGCTCACTACCCAGGATGAGTGCAGGATCAAGGTCCTGCCAATCTTGTAAAAGTACTTTGCACTTCGAAGGTGCAAATCACATACCATGCCTACGGATACTGATTGTCAACTGATTAAGTGCGAATCGCATGACTTGGGTATCATCGTGCAAACACCATACGCACACTGAAGGTCGAAAAGCCTTTCTACAAGCAACAAATCCACACCACTACTGCCTACATCCATCACAGCTATTTCGTGAACGTCATCAGTGGCAAAGTTGAGGAGGAATTGTGAGATTGGGCAACCCTGTCTAACCCCAATGCTCGAATGGAACAATGGAGAAAGGTGGTTATATGCCCTCACTCTGCCTGAGGTGCTTGTATATAAAACTTTTAAGATGTTAATAAACTTCTCAGGTACACCCTTCTTCAATAGACAATCCCAGAGAACAGTACTGTCCAACGAATCGAAGGCGGCCCTAGTGTCAAGAAACACTAAGATTGTTGGCTTGTGATACATTCTCGACCACAACGAAAACCAGCCTGCTCCTCGCGAGTCAGTCTTTCTCGTGTTTTGAACAACCTACAAAGTATGACGGAAGCCAATATCTTGGACACAATCGGAAGTAGACTCATCCTCTGATAGTTGTTACAGGAACGACTTGAGCCCTTTTTAAAGATGGGGACAACTATAGACTCATTCCATGACGTTGGTACGCTTTCTAGTTCACAGACCTTTGTAAACAACGTCGTCAGTTCCTTAGTCAGGAAATCACCACCATTTTTAAAAAGAGCCGGAGGTAAGTCATCTGGGCCCGGTGATTTGTAGCGCTTCAAGAGTTGGAGTTCCTTGTGGACTTCCGCCTCATTAGGTGAATCAGTCGCCGCCGGCCACGAAGGGTAAGACAGTCTGACTGATGTCACAGGGGCAGTCAACCAGTAGAACTGTTACTCGAAGAACTATGCCTGTCGGCCAAGACGTCGGTAGAAGCTATTCATTGGCATCACGTCAGCGTCACAGATTTTTTCACTCACACCAGACTTCTTGCTGTCAGTGACTCAGATGAGTTGGAAGAGCTTCCAGCACTCACCAGAAGCAGTTGCTGCTTCCAGCTCATTAGCAAGCTCCAACCACCATACTTCTTGGTTCCTACCTAAGTTTTCCACAATTCCACTACGTAATAATCTTCGGTTGTGGTCGTCCGGAGTAGTTCAACGTGCTTCAACGAGTTGTAAGGAGGCTGTATAAACCCAGTGCTAATAAGCGGGACGTTCCATGAACCCGCAAGCGACGTTATTCACCATTTTCGTGGCGTCATGCAATTGAAGAGATCTAAGAATGCTGATAGGTTGATATGGTAAGATCATACAGTTTTGTAATCAAAAGGTTTTTTTTAAAGTGCTGGATCCTTCGTCCGAAAATTATAGATAATGTGAAAAATTGGCTGCTACCAGCCGAGATATTCTGACTGATTAGCTAGTTAGATTACTAAACTGTATAGACCTAATCCATTTTGTATATGTTAGTGAAGTTTAAATTATTTATACATTGTTCTTAATTAGTCAGTTGGAAAAAGTGGATAGTGATCATGTGATTCGTACCAAATTGTAACACAAACATATCTTTATGAATCTCATTACCAAAGTTTGGCTTGATAGCTTCGAATAAATTGAGCATTGGGTCGATCGTTAATTATAGAAATAATCATGAAACGTCAGATGTTTGACTTCTCACTCATTAGGACTTTACAAATATGTTATTTGTATTGTGTATTTACGGAGACATATTTCACTGGTCTTTTTTAAACTAATGAGTCTGAAAGTTATTTGTGGAATTGTTATCAATTATTTCCACTTCATATATGTGTCAGCAACTGTTAGTGCACATAACCTCACAAGTAACAGAGGGGTGGAGTTGTGACTAAGGGATTTTGTTTTCGACCACTAGATTAGATGTTCGAATTCGTTTCATCTTTAAGTATTACCGACTCTTACACAAAGAATATGACTTAAAGCCAAGTAAATAAACCTGTATCACAGTTACCAATGAAGTCAGACATTAACAGTAAGCAATTGCTAAAAGTATCCAGTTATGATTTGGTTAATTATTCATATGACCCTCAAAATCACACTCATAATATGATGTGTCATATATTGATATTTGATAAAATAGGACAGGTAACTCATGTTTTTACCATAAATAAACTAATGAAAACCATATAAATCCGTTATTCAATTAATTTTTAAGTGATATTTTAAAATTAATCACGAAAACATTGTTGTTTAGGCGATTAGTGTCTTTCGACTGGAAAATTGTCATTATGTTGAATACATATGGAGGAGACTATTTGACTTATGGTTTTTTTATACACAACTATCAATCTCATGTTCAGTAGTCAATTTAAATGTTATTATTAACGTTATACATAGAAACAACTAATTGAGATTAAACCGACCTTATATCAATCAGAGATACAAAATAATAATGTATAATCAGTTCCTAAAAGTTATCGATTTACAGGTTTACAATACTTGTCTGTATAATTTGGAAACTTTCACCTTACAGTATGAAATCATACTTAAAACTTTTTTTAAATTAACAATGTCAAAATAAAAATCTACTTTATTTAGAACAAATTTTCTATTTTTGTGTCTTGAATGACAACGTTTCCTACATTTGGTTTCGTAATAACCGTACGTAACTAACAAGCAAGCCTCTAGAATTCCCAATTTATTCTCGAACATGAAATAATCTGAGTCAAAGTCACATAAGAGCAAAACAGTCATTGCACCTCTTCCCTAGTTTTCATTGCTGTTTTAACTGACATCAATTTGTAACTTAAAATATCTTTGTTATTTAAAACTAATACGTTTCATAGCAATCAAGAAATAAACTATACATAAAATTAGTTCTTTTGAAAAGAACTCAAGTTCAAACAAATCAGTACCATAATGATAATCAATACATTCTAAGAACACTGAAATAATTCATCTTCTAATTAGCACCATATATATTGATTTCAACAAAATTTATTAGAATGTTACCTGTGCAATTTAATCAAGAGAATAGAATAGCGGTGACAAGTGACCTTAAGATCAAGGTCAAGAAGAGCAAAAAAACACAATCGACAAGGCAGGTTAGTAGTAAATCAATAAACAGAGAAGCATAGTGACTATTCAAGTAATAATAATAATAATTCATACGATACATGTAAGAATGGATGCTTGTGATGTCTTATTGAAACAAAAGTAGGAGCCGATGATATCGTATAGGAAGGCTATAAAAACTTTACAGCTAATCCAATCTACTTAGAAAATGCAACACCACCAAAAGCATTCAACTTGAACAGATATGAATCTCTTCAATTATTTCACAGATGAACGTATATACAAAGTTCTGAAAATAAGTCAGTTAATTTATATAAAAGGCAAAGTTATGAAGAAGAAGAAGAAGATATGATTCATATATATAGGTGGTTTTGGTGAAATGGTTAGTTTTTAATAAATCTGACTGATGATTATGGTTGAGAAACCGTTGAAAAGCGTAGCGTTACAAAACAATTACTTTATTATAAGTTAGAAGATTTAAGCAACATCTATCAATTTTTTTAAAATTAAATCTTGATGAGCTTGTTACTGTCCATCTGTTGATTAAAAGCATAATAAATTAAGTTTATCAGATTCTGGATAATAGGAAGATAGTATGGAAATTATCCATTGATATGAGCTAATCAGTTTATATGCCCCTGAGAAGTGAAGACTTTACTAGTTGGCAATATAGAATGTCTATTTTCCAAACTATTACAATCACTGAGAAATCATTGGGGAGGAAAAGTTTATAAAAAGTTTACTTTGAAGTATATCAAACCATTAGTAATATATAGCTAATAAATTAGCATATGGTACAAGTAATATAGCTTCTTTGATATGTTATTGGGGAGAAAGTATATAGTGCCTTACTATTGTATATTATCTTTAGGGATATTTCTTTCTAGACTAAAGCAATAACTTCCATGTTTTTCATGGTGGTCTAGTTCCAACTGACTCATGATCTCAACCATTTAAAGTAATAACTGTTTACTCAGATTTTACAAATAGTATTTTTGCTAGTCGTTAACTAATATAATGCTTTTCATTTCCTCAGCGTGATTTCCAGTAAAGATTACTGGTCTAAAGTCGTCCACCACAGTCAATAAACGTAACTTGCCAAGTGCAGGTCTATGTATTTGGATTATTTAAGCTGCGTTGTCTATTTGAGGGCTATTGGCATGCTATTCAGCTGATCAAACTGAAGCAGTTAGAGATGATATTAAGCCTGCAACCTATTGGTTGGAAGCTGAGTGCTTCTTAACCAGTAAGCCATTAATTTCAAATGGTCAGTAAATACACCATCTTGATACTAAAATTTAACATGACAGATATTGGTATTAATATATGAAGATAAATGATAAAACCTTTCTTTTTTATGAAGTTTAGTGAATAAAGAGCTGCTATGAAAAAAAAAACAAGAATAACAAGTGTTAACTCGATCCATTTAGGACAGAATAGTTGGGCTTTTCAATTTCGCATATTAAGAAGATTAAAAAATAAGCAGATTCATGTAAAGTTAACTGTAAATAGATTATCTCTAATTACTATGACAAATACCCTCCATTTAAACACTAACACGACTAGTATTTTTATCATTGAAAAATCTCAGCAACACAACATCAAGATTTACCTTCAGATTATAAGATGACCAGATTATCTCTTCATTCTCAACCATAAAATATCAAGATTTCAATATTTTGAATATATATATATATATATATATATATATATATATATATATATACCATCAGTATACAAAATATTGCATATGTACACAATATGCATGATGGTAAATGTTTATAAATCGAAATTAAAATCTTGATTACATTGAAAGTGAAAACATCCGATTGGTTATACAAAACCTTTACTTGTTATTATTTTTCATTGTTAATTTACTCAATAGAATTTGATTATCATCCATGTTAAAATGTAGGTTTCGCACGTGTTAATAACATTTTACTACTACTATTTACTACTGTACTATAGTGTAAACACATTACCTTTGGAATATCGATATTCACTGATCTCTCACAAATTTAGCCAGCATACTAGACTTTATTATAACTTAATATAAACCACCTGTTAATTTTTGGTGAATAATTTACGAGGCAACCAAATAGTCTAATTGCAACACTAGATGGTGTTAACAATTTCACTTTTTAAAGTGAATCTATTTGAAGACAAGATTAAATAGTGAATTCTAAATGAGTCAAACGACTGTCTATTAATAACTAATTTAATCTGTTTACTAAGTATATGAGGTTATGTGATCAATTTCGGATTATACTTTAGTTGTGTGAGGGCTAATGATACCAACCTGTTAGCCAAATTGAAGCAGGAATTGGTAGCTTAGTGATTAAAGAATCAAGCACCTAACCACACTAGATAGCAGATTTCAAATCCACCTCCATCTAATTGCACTTGAACAGAGAGTAGTATCACTAGCCTTCATTCCTTAAAAGTAAACACAAGGACTTGTACTTAGTGTGATAATTTGAGAGTTTGTTACATTATATCAAGGTACGAACGACTGAAAGACTCTTCTAATACGAAACGGTATCTATGCAAATTAGACTCCCCAACTACGTCGGTTTGTGTAACCTGGTAGTACCATCAACCCTCACACTTAGAGTATGGCTCAATACCAAACACTTGGTGAAAGTTAACTTTAAAAAATATGCAGTAATGCTTCAAAGTTAATAATCCACTCAAGCATAAGAGGGACAACAGAAGAAACTTTCAAAAGACCTTTAATATTCCCAAAAGAATTCAGAAATGTAATGCAACCATTCTACTTTCTATGTTAAAAACAATTGTAAAACTTGTAGTTTCAAATAAAGTTCAAATAAATTGAAAAGTATTACAAATGTCGCCAGGTTACAGAGTTTGAACTGAGCTCCTACTTTGGTTTGAACGATCAGTTACTACCGTTAGCTTCAACATAAAAAAATACAATTTAGAGCTGAGTACATAAATCTAGTCTTCGTGAGAAATTTGTTTATGTTAACTAATAACTGTCATTTAACTGACCGTGTATTTTTTCACCAAAACTGTTGTATCTAGAGCTAGATTTTGCTCCTGCTCCACGTCGTACGCCACATAACATAACTTCTCTTTCATTTGGCGGATTGTTTCAAAATCTGCTGTTTGATTGAATGCATAACCACGCAGTAACAAGAGCTGGTACGAAAAAAATGAAAAAACATAGGAAACTAAATTTAAAATGGATCACTAAACCAGGTAATAATAAATATATTTTAATGGTATCCCAATGAATGGAAAGTTGTATTTCTAGCGTGTCATGGCTTAATGTAAGTTACTTCTTCAGAGTAAATGAATGACCGAAATAAAACTAACACAAGTTCATATAGTACAAAGAATATTTTTAGTACAGCCAAAATCATAATAGGTCTGAACACGTCGTGCTACACTAAACTAGGTGTAATGCTGACCTATGATAGAGAAAATAAACCACGTTTCCAATCTTAATAGTTTAATGATGAAATGATATATTTGAGTGATAACACTTCGAGCTACTTGATAGATCATGTCATTACATCAAAGTGCAACAAAGGTCGAATCGAATAAACATAAAAGGAAGACTAAAAATGTTTATAAGCAATACATTTTATAAAATTAAACTTACAGTAAAGGAAAGAACGGAAAATATGTTACGACGCAGACACTAACATAGGTTTAAGACACCACATCACAAACAGATGGAGAGGTGATGGAATAAGTATCTTAGTAGTTTCAAAAAGAGTTGGATTCCGAAGCTCCTTTAAGAACAATCTAAAACAATCATCTTCCTCTGTCAAAACATATAATGAATAGATGTGAAAACAGCTTTCAAATTCTTATAGGTCAACTGTTAAGAATTCAGCCTCAAGTTTATGAAAACTTCAGTTAGTGATATAAAAAGCTCAAGCAGAATTTAGAAACTCTGAATCTGTGGGAAGACAAAGAATGGATGCACCTGCGCTGCTGCAAACGGTTTTGAACCACGCTATTCAAAGTCTCTAACCATTGGTTACAAAAGTCACGTGGACCTCAACCATGTGGGAATTCGTAAAAATATATAAATATTTAACTTAAATACACTTGCTTTAATAAGGTAGCGTGTTATGTCGCGACCGGCGACGTTCAAACGTCTTGTTAAATGCGGCAAAGAGAGTCCATCGTAAACTGGGCATATGTGAGTAACACCATCACCCGAATCAACGACAACCCCAGTCATGAGACCTTGTGAAGAAAATCGGGGATAAGAAAAATATAGAACAAACTTTGCCAATTAATCAGTAAGCATAAAAAAGACGAGTAACACTACCGTTTAAGAGTATTTAAAAACATTTTGACAAATGCCGACAATCTTGTAAATAATACCATAAAGTTAGGATGACGTTTAGACAAATAGTTGGTTGCTAATAGACTACATAAATTCTACACCATTTTTGTCCGAAAGAAAGTACATTAATTTATTCCGGATCAAAATACATTTCCGGATAAATGTTCTTAGAAAAAATCAGAAGGCAGTTTCTAAAGATTTTCGTACAAAATTAAATAAAAACATCATTTTTGAACATTAGTACAGTACTGACAAGAGATATATGCATGTCGACGGAAAAACCTCTCACGGAAATACATCGATTCAGATTGTCACACTTCCTCTAAAATAAAGAGTCTAACAAAACAGAAAGACATAAAAATTACCGAGGACATGGATCGATAAGAAAGAAAAAGAGGTTATAATTATCTTAAATTCAAACGAATGGCAAGTCATATGTACCGCAGTGACCTGAACCCTAACATTTTCAGCATTTTGGTCAATATGTTTCGGTCAGTCAGTGAGTCAGCTACAACGTAGGGCCAGGCACATATCTGCATCGGTCCAAGTCGACACACCTCATTAGCACAACAAGATGAACACCAAATTCGTAGAACTAGTCACTTCAATAGCAGTAATATATAAAAGAAAGATTGTGTATAAGCATATAGTACAGGAAGAAAGAATTAGTTTGTAGAAATAAAGGTATAAAGCAATTTTAATCTCACGGTTTAATTGCAGACAGAGTGAATACAAAGACGCCATTGTTATCGATTATGTGCCATGTCACCCACAGTCTATAACCATTGGCTACGATAGTCACGCGGACCGCAACCAAGTAGTCTGCATCTACCGACATGGACCAGAACAGAAGTTAGTGACTTCAACGACTGATGTCACGTTTTGGTTTGGCCGCCCTAATGTTCTTCCAACCATCTCCAACACTGGTCAGCATTGCGCGTCGTGGTAATCGGTGTTCAGGCGTACGTAACACGTGGCCCAACCATTTCAGTCGATGAAGATTTACAACTTCATCAACTGATTTACCATCGTTCCATAATACCCTGTGTCTAACCTCACTATTACTTACCCGGTGATCCCAGCAGATGCGAGCAATATTTCTAGAATTTCCGTGATCAAACACTAGTGGCTTACGAGTATCTACTGTTAATGGCCACGTTTCGCAGCCGTAAAGTAGAACAGAACGAACTGCCGCACAGTTTACTCGTCTTTTTATTGATAGACGGATATCTCACCTTCGCCATAGGTGATGTAGGTTAGCAAAAGCCAAACGCACTTTCTGAACCCGTGCAGACTTCGTCAGACACCAACCCATTAGGGCTGACCAGACCGTGGAGTGAAGTTGTTGACGCGCTCGACTACTTCACTCTCTATCCTTAGTTGGTGTTGACGCAGGCGTCTAATTGTTCATTAATACGACTAAAATTTAAATTATAAGGGCATTATTTAACTAGCTAGTAATATGGTGCTTGATATTTTCGACAAAAAAAGCCGTTGTGATTATGAGGACGTATATAAAATTCCAACAAGTTACTGTGGACTCGGAAACTTTTACAGATGGATGTTTTACTAACGAAACAAAGCTTGATAAAGTTCACTCCAATGAAAAACAATATCATGGGCCGAGAAAAAAACACATGATCAACGCCTCCAAAAGTATGGTAATTTGAATCGTTATTGGCAAATAACACTGAACTGTCTTACAGCCATTACCTGTGGGATTGATTAAATTCTTTACTAAACTCGAGAGAAAATATTGTTGAGTGATGATAACTAGCTAGCTTATTTCCGTAGAATACTTAAAACACTTTTAAAGCATGATCTTTCAGATCACAGTGTAACAGGCACACAGCTTACAACACTTTTACAGAAGTTATAAATGGTAGCATACCTTGGGCGTAAAGAGTCAATGTCGCTTGGATGGCAATGAATAGTGCATTAAAGCCATATTTTTCAAACATAACTTCAACCATTTTCTCTCTGTTACGCAATGGATTGAGAGGAGGCTCTGTTAACAAAATCTTTGCATGTTTGGGATCAATGTTCATCTTTTTTGGACCGAATATGTAGTCATATAAATGGATCATATCGTCCCAATTTCTAACAATGCCGTTCTCCAGTGGATAACTTAATTCCAACATTTGTCTTAATTCACTTGCTTCATCACCTATCATAAGATCCTGAACTTCCAAATTGCCCACGCGAGAAGTTGCGCGCAATATTGGTCTCCCTATGAGTGATGGGAAAATAAATTCGGGGAAGGTGGCTCCAGCGTATCCACATTTTACAAACTGAAGATTTCCAGTAAAAGACAAGATAGTAAACTCACTCCTGTACCATTGTCACAAACAACTATCTTATTCCCATCAGCATCAACAGTCATTGTGTAACGTATAGCTTACAGTAGAGCGCCTTTAAGGCGAACTGTTATTTCAAATCTCAAGCATTAGTCGGAAAAATAACCAACTATTTACTCCTTAGAGACATTAACTAGGTTCTTGGTTGTAAAGGAGTCAATTTCTTAATGTAGTCCCCCAACAGCAGAAAAAGGTTATGAACCTGTAGACGTAGCCTACATTGATTTCAGCAAAGCTTTTGACCAGGTTCTGCACAACCGGCTGTTATATAAGCTAAGAAATGTCGGGATTGAATGCTATCTATTGATGTGGATAAAAGACTTCCTAGTTGGGCGTTAACAAAGAGTAAGGGTGAACTCAAAGTTATCTAACTGGGTAACTGTGCTTAGTGAAGCGCCCCAGGGTATGGTTTTGGGGGCAGTGCTATTCCTCCTGTATGTAAATGATCTTCCTCGTCTCCTATCATCATTGGTTTTGCTATATGCTGACGATATTAAGATATGGAGAACGATATGATGTAAGGGTGATAGCTTAGAACTTCTAAATTACCTGAAAAATCATCTGAATGGTCTCAAACCTGGCAGTTGCCGATGAATACTTCCAAGTGTGTTGCGATGCATATCGGTCATCAAGGTACAGATACATACACGATAAATAACACCGAACTACCTATTGTCCAGACACATAGTGACTTATGAGTCATCGTTAGCCAAGACTTGAAGACTACTGCGCACTACTGTGCAATGGCCGACAAAGGTTTTAGAACCTTATGTTCAATACGTAGGGCTTTTAGTCATGTCGATGCTAAAACGTTTTTGACTTTGTATACAGTGTTCGTACGTCCTAAACTCAAGTACTGCATACAAGCGGCTATCCCTTGCTTAAAAAAGACAGTAAACTTAGAAAAAGGTGTGGTGGTCGGTATTTGATATAATCCTTAAACTTCGTATACAGCTCGTCGCGATAACCGTTCTATATAACGTACCAACGGTATATTAATCAGAAGGCCAATACGAAGTGTCGATTACGTTTATTGCGAAACCACACACATATATCCAAATGTACAGATGTGTTAAACAAGCATAGAAGAGTTGTGCCGAAAGGCAAGCAAGCGAACGAGAGCCAGAGCAAGAGCGTGACGAGACCGTGCGAGCGAGTGAGCGATTGTGTTCAATATGAATAACATGGACATATATATACCATGTGAAAATAAATGAGTAATCGAATCGAATAAGCGGTTAGTGGTAAGATTAGCAGAGTGAATAAATGCGTAGGCAGTAATCAATATTCAAGCATACGTATTTCATACAAGCGCAAAATAATAATAAGGATACAATAAATTGTCATAGCGCGGATGGCTTTGTCCGCTAAATAAGTTAACAAAAAGGGCTTAACTGGGTTAAATGAAAATAAACCCATTTGCACGTGAGTCGCTATAATAGCTCCCCCCTGCAAACAACGATATATGGAAAATGTCTGTGTTTGCATAAAAAAAATAGAAGACTGAATAGGGTAGAAAAATGGCTTATACAAAATTAAGATGAGGTTGGTGTTTGCTGTACATTTGGTTTGCGCCCGTCCGTGAGGTTACATAAAATAGTAGCAAGAAACAGAAGGAAAGCGGTATTGTCTTTACATTTTAAACAAAAATTATACACATAAGTGTAAGGGTACATAAGATACGTTGAGTTTTATAGCGCATAACATGAGCTTAATAATGCATGTGTATACGATGAGGTAGAAGTTATAATTAATATTCCAAATAGTAGATTATTATTAATAGAAAATTGTAGCGACATAATGTTGGGGCCATCTTACTCTGCGGCCGGATCTTGTTGTTATCGGAGTCTTGTCTTTTTGTTGCGTTAACGTTGTTGATTTTTGGGACTCGTGTTTCGCTGGTATGACCATCTTAGATGAGTCTGTACTTGTTGATTGATTATCGCTATCGATGAAAGCTGGCTTTACTCGATCGATGCTAATTACATCTGTCTTCCCAGCTTTTTCTATGGTAACCGTTTTATTTGTCCTCTCTATCACTTTAAATGGTCCGTCGTAACTCGGTTGAAGAGGTGGTTGTACTTTATCTCTTCTGATGAATACGTGAGAGCTGTTATGTAGTTCCTGTGGTATGAATACCCGTCGTTGTTGTGGTCTGGGAGGTGTTATTTTTAAATCGCTCATGTGCTTTCTCAGGCGTTGCACATAGCCGGTTACATCAGTCGGGACATTTTTACTTGAAGTGAAAAATTCTCCGGGTAATCGTAGAGTAGTTCCGTAAACTAACTCGGCCGGACAACATCCCATGTCTTGTTTAATTGTTGCTCTTAGAGCTAACATTACTAGGGGAAGTTTATTAGACCAATCGTTGTTAACGATGACGGCTGTAAGGGACGCTTTTAATTGCCTATGTAGGCGTTCAACCATTCCGTTTGCCATTGGATGGTACGACGTCGTTCGGATTCGTTTAATACCGAGGAGTTCAGTAAGCTGCTGAAAGAGTCGACTTTCGAATTGTGCTCCTCTATCCGTTGTGATAATCGTTGGTACACCGTAGTAAGAAATCCAATTTTCAACTAGGGTTTTAGCTACCGTTTCAGCTGAGGTGTCTTTTATCGGCACTGCTACCGGCCATCGTGTAAACCTATCGATGCATGTAAAGATATAGTTGTATCCATTTGAAACGGGCAGTGGTCCTACAATATCGATGTGTATATGTTCAAATCTAGTGTCTGGGTGCGAAAACGGACCTACTGCAGAGCTAGTATGACGATGTACCTTCACTTTTTGGCACTTCATACATGCTTGTGTCCAATTACGTACATCGTGATTCATGTTTGTCCATACGAATCGTTCACTAATCAGTTTTATCGTGGCTTTTATTCCTGGGTGCGACATGTTGTGCATGCTTTCGAATATTTTGTGTCGCAACGTTTTCGGGATAAATGGTCGCGGTCGGCCTGTTGATGTATCGCAAATTACTTTCGTGTTACCAAACCGCACCTCTTCGAGTACTAATGATGTTGAACCACCGGATCTGAGTTTATTTAGCTCGATGTCTCTCTCCTGCAACTTTGCTAGACCGTTATAATCAATTCCACTTGCCATAAGTGTGCTTATCGTTGCTCGTGACAATGCGTCGGCCACATCGTTTTCTTGTCCTTTAACGTACTGTATGTCGGACGTGAACTGTGAAATGAACTCTAGTTGTCGGATCTCTCTCGGGGAATAATTGTCTTGCTTTGCGCTTAATGCTTTCGTTAGCGGTTTGTGGTCTGTATAGACGGTAAAACTTATGCCTTCGACCATATGACGGAAGTGTTTTATTGCTAAGTAGATTGCTAATAATTCTCGTCCAAACGTACTATATCTCGTTTGGGTAGGATTTAATCTTTTCGAGAAAAATGAAAGTGGCTCCCATACACCGTTTACTAACTGCTGCAAAACGGCTCCTACTGCTAAGTTCGATGCGTCTGTCATTACTGCTAATGGTGCTTCGCTCTTTCGTCGTACCAACATCATCTTCTCATTTAGCGCTCGCTTAGCGTTCTCGAAAGCCTGTATAGCATCCGCTGAAAGACGGAATGTTCGAGTATGTCCTCGCAAGGCGTCCGTCAATGGCTGTAATATTGCTGCGCAGTTTGGGATAAATCGTCTATAATAGTTTATTAGCCCCAAGAATCTTCGTAATTTTCTTTGTGAATCGGGCAACGGATAATTACGAATAGCAGGCTTCCCAGCCATCTTCTAGTATGTGTCAAAATTGCTTTGCTATGGCTCTCGCTCGCTTAGCATGCGAATGGGCATCCACATTATCGACAATCGGTGTGTTCGTTTGAATTTACATGGTGATCTGCAGTTTCGAGCTTTATCGCCGAAAGTTTGATGGTACCAACATATTGTAGGGGCTGAGCGTCTCCTAGAACGTGATCGACTTCTTTCCCTCGATCTACTTCGTGACCATCCTCTTTGCGTATCGCTCTGATTTAGTTTCATCAGCTTGTGGCATAAAACATTAATCTCCTTTTGTAATGCATCGATTCGTCCATCTATTGTGGTACTATGCCCTTGCGGACTCGTTTGTTTCATTTTTTCATAAATCCTATCGGCTATTTTAGCAATGTTGTCTATATCGACATCGTTGTCCTCAACCGCAAGGATCTGCTGCACGTTCGCTGGGAGTCGTCGTAACCACAACTGATAAAATATGTTTTTATCTACTTTTCTGTCTCCGATTACGCTTCTCATATAGTTTTTTAACTGCGATGGAGTCCTATCTCCTATCTGCACTTGACTGAGAAGTTGTTCGATGGCTTGCCGGTCGCTTAATGAGACGGCTTTAATCACTGCCTGTTTTAATGCGTCGTATGGCTTTTCTATGTCTGGCTTGATTAAAATCTCTCGTACATTATCTGCTACTTCATCTGGAAGTAGCGAGCTCGCGTGGCCAAATTTATCTCGCTGTGTATGAACACGATTAGCTACAAAGTAATGTTCAAGTCTGATGAACCAAAGTTGAGGATCTGTGACCTTAAAAGGAGGAATAGTTACATTAATGGACCTCACGGACGGCGTTTGGGAAAGTTCTATTGTATCGTTGCTTAAAGACATATTCATAAAGATAAAAAAATTACACAAATATAATGCGAATGTCACAGAGAAAAGTGAGTCGATAAAAACAATGATAAAAACAAATGGTACAATTTATAACAAAGAACGGACTTACTAAATTGCACCAAAATATCAATTGCTTGTAAAAATATCGTTGTTTATTATGAATATTATCGTTATGTTCTTTAATGTTTGTGAGATAATGTACGTATAATAAAAATAATGAGATAATAAATCCACAGTTATAATTATAATCCAAATAATAGTTACAATTGTAATCGAATACGTTGGATTTTAGGAATTGGATTATGTCGTTGAAGATTGTTTCGTGTTCGCGCGTCGGGATCGCCAATTATGTGGTGGTCGGTATTTGATATA